CAGCTCCTCTGAGTCTCAGTGTGCTTTTCTCTTTCCTTCTAGTTGTAGAATTTCCACTCAGCCAGCCTTCCTGTAGTTCTGGATGATGTCCGTTTTGTCTTTTCGTTGTATTTTTTAAGTTGTTGTGGGAGGCAGCAATTTCCGGTGTTTACCTATGCCACCATCTTGGTTTCTCTCTCAAATACAGCCTTCTTATTCTTTAAAACCAGAGTCCTGCCCAGCAGGTGAGGGCCAGTGGTTGAGCGACGACCTCTCCAGTCAGAATCGAAGAATTCTTGCCACTGAGAGGATTCTCGGCTTGAGCTGACTCCTGTTGAGCTCGGCGACCCATCGTGGCCTCCCTAGATTGGGTGAATCGCAGCTGCAGAAGAGCGGCAGCGAACGTCTTCTAATAACTTAGCAATCGCCAGGCACTGTGTTAATGCTTTCCCATGCATAATCCTATTCTGTCTTCACTGCAACTCGGAGGTGGCCGGGCCGCGGCGCCGTTCCTCGCCCAGGTCCAGCACGTCCTCCATCTCCGAGGCCGCCTGACGTCACTTCTCCAGTCTTTTCTTGAGATGAATAAATTTCCCTTCTTCCAGATCCTTTGGCTCCCCAGGGAGATAGAAAACTTGGAGTTCTTTGACAGCCCAGATCATCTAGTGGTGATAAAGAACAATGTCAACAAAATATTAAAATCAAGAGTTCCCCATTTCAAGCTGACCACATGGTAATCTGAAAGTGGTTTAAGTACCCATGTGCAGTTCCTATGTGGGGCAGCCAATTCTCAATCTATCACAAGCCCTACACCAAATTTCAGAAGGAGGAAAAGAACAAGTTACTGGAGGACTGATGAGCTGATCAATATTCTCAATTTACCTCTTTAGCTACAGAGCCCAAATTGAAAACAGACTGTGAGAATCCCAAAGGGCTGCCTTCATGGTACATCCCTGTCCCTGGAGGGGAGCAAGTAGCTCTGCAAAGATTTGGGGCACCTGCCTGGCACAGCGGGGAACTTCGGCTGCTTAGGCACTTACAGATCTACAGGAGCTGCTTTAATCAGGCCTGGTTAAAACTTTGCCCCTGCATGAACACCCCAAACCTCTGCTATGGATTAGAACCGAGCTCCAGGGGCCAATCCTGTTGTTTGCAGAATTACTGTGGTCAGTAATACTTCTCAGCAAGAACATGGGATGGGAATTAAAAGTGCAATTTACAAACATCTCTATAGTTCTCACTGAAATAGCACTTCCTATATTCCAACTCTGTATGAAGCTCAGTAAGTCTCACCTCAACCTCATGAGGGGGGTACTCCATTTTACAGATCATAGTGGGGAATCTCTGCAAGTAGTGTGTCTTTTAGTAAGAGTTAACAACACTTAATGCTTGATGGGACTTTCATCACAATCCTGGAGGTTTCTATTAAACTACGCATGTTTATTTAGGAAAGTGGAAACAGACAGGGGTCCAAGGCAGAGGGCACTTGCTTGCCCAAGTATAAAGGGAGGAGGGGTACTGTAGGTAGTTCCTGAAAAATGAATATTAAAACAAGCTTCCTTCATGTAGAGACAAGCTGGGAACCAGGGGATGAGGGCTGTGTTCAAGGCCCAGAGGAATTTGGCTAAAGTTTAGCCGCTAAACCATTGGGACAAGAGCAAGGAAGTTAGTAGATATCTCGGACTTTGTAACCTCAGAAGTTTATACATTCCTCATATATATTTGTTCTCTTGACATCTCTAGTAAACTCTTTAAAAGCTCTTTTATTGATTTTAGAAAGAGAGAAACATCAATATGAGAGAGAAGCGTTGATCAGTTGCACCCCAACCAGGAATTGAACCCACAACTCCAGTATGTGTCGTTAGCTCTTAACTAAGGGGAACCCTGGGAAAGGTTTTGATCTTTGCTTGATCCAGAATAATTAAGGGGGTAGCAGCAACTCAAATGAAAAGTCCCAAAGAAAAAGGTGAGACTTGTGATTCAGAGGTGTCTCTCAACTCCTCTTCCACACACAGTCCTGAAAATTCTCTTTCCAGTGCTAACCTTGGAAGTTCTAAGTAAGAAAAGGAACCCATTAGTGCAACAAGATTCCTAGAGGCCCCCAGTGTCTGTTCTCCCTTCTCTCTCTCAGTGACAGAATCCTATGTTATTACCTGGAACATGACTGTCCAGTATAAAGACACTGTTTCCCAGCCTCCCTTGTAGCTATGTGTGATCCATTTGGCCGTGTTCTAGCCAATGGAATTGAGTAGAAGTGATGTGTACAACTTGTGGCTTGTTCTTTTAGAGGAGGAAGGATACTCTCCTTTTCCCCCTTCTCCCTGCTGGCTAGAATGTGACATGGTGGTGAGCCATCCTAAACAAAATGGACAAGGGGGGCAGAATAGTAAGATAGAAGGGGCTGGGTCCCTGGCCCCATTGACCTACCATAACATCTTACATTATGGGGAAGCACGGGACTTGGTTGGAAAGTCTATGAGGAGGATTCTCTGAAAGGTCGGGGGCCTCGAGGGGGACCTTGCTGAAGGCGGCAGCCCCTGCCTTGACTTTTCCAAACAAGTCCGAGCCCCCGAGGTGTTTTGCTGGAATCTCTATGTTTAGTCTTTAGACCCGATCTTGTAGAAGCATGTGCTTTCTCAAGGGTACTTACCCTGCTGATTGTATCTAGAGGTTAATTTTAGTTCAAGCTGTTGTTATAATAAAAGCCTAAGGAGACACGCGAATGGGGCTTTTTGGTTGCTATAGCCAAGCAGCCCCTTATCCCTCTCTTTCACAGAAACGTGTGTCAGAGTAATCCATTCATCCCGTTGCTCAGCATCTGCTGGTCAGTCCCAGCATTACATGAGAAAGAAACAAACTTCTATTTTGTTCAAGCCAATGTAGGTTTTTGCTGCTGCTGTTGTCTTTTTTTTTATTATTATTAAATCTTTATTGTTCAGGTTACATTTGTTCCTCTTTTTTCCCCCCCATAACTCCCCTCCTCCCAGTTCCCGCCCCACCCTCCGCCCTCACTCCCCACCCACTGTCCTCATCCATAGGTGCACGATTTTTGTCCAGTCTCTTCCCGCATCTCCCATTCCCCTTTCCGCCCCAAGAATAGTCAGTCCATTCCCTTTCTATGTCCCTGATTCATTATCATCACCAGTTCATTCTGTAAATCAGATTATTTATTCACTTGATTCTTAGATTCACTTGTTGATAGATGCATGTTTGTTGTTCACAATTTATATCTTTACCTTTTTCTTCTTCCTCTTCTTAAAGGATACCTTTCAGCATTTCGTATAATACTGGTTTAGTGGTGATGAACTCCTTTAGCTTTTTCTTATCTGTGAAGCTCTTTATCTGACCTTCAATTCTGAATGATAGCTTTGCTGGATAAAGTAATCTTGGTTGTAGGTTCTTGGTATTCAGCACTTTGAATATTTCTTGCCATTCCCTTCTGGCCTGCAAAGTTTCTGTTGAGAAATCAGCTGACAGTCGTATGGGTATTCCCTTGTAGGTAATTGAGACTCTTTCTCTTGCTGCTTTTAAGATTCTCTCTTTGTCTTTTGCTCTTGGCATTTTAATTATGATGTGTCTTGGTGTGGGCCTCTTTGGATTCCTTTTGTTTGGGGTTCTCTGCGCTTCTTGGACCTGTAAGTCCATTTCTTTCACCAGGTGGGGGAAGTTTTCTGCCATTATTTCTTCAAATAGGTTTTCAATATCTTGCTGTCTCTCATCTTCTGGCACCCCTATTATTCTGGTGTTTGTACCCTTGAAGCTGTCCCAGAGGCTCCTTACACTATCTTCGTATTTTCGGATTCTTTTTTCATTTTGCTTTTCCGGTTGGGTGTTTTTTGCTTCTTCGCATTTCAAATCTTTGACTTGATTCTTGCGCTTCTCTGGTCTGCTATTGGGTGTCTGTATAATATTCTTTATTTCAGTCCATGTATGCTTAATTTCTAGTTGGTTCTTTATCATAGCATCGAGGGTCTCATTAGTTTTCTTGAGTCTTTCCTTAAGTTTATTGGCAGCTTCTAGCACATTCTTGCAAGCCCTCAAAATTGCGTTTTTTAGCTCTATATCCTCCATTTCTGTCATGTTTTTTTGTCTCCGCATTTTTATGCTTTCTTGGTGCACCCCCTAGTGGTCTTTGTGCGCAGTCTTGTTCTAGTTAAGCCGTGATTGTTGTAGTTAAAACTAGAGGGATTTGACCACCAGGCCGACTGGCTGTGAGAATCAGCTGTGGGACAACTTCTGTCCTCTGGGGAGGTGCTAATCTAGCCTTTGCCTGAGGCGATCCGGCAAATGGCTCTGCGCAGGGTTTGGGCGGGGCGGGATCAACAGGGCGGGCGGGCGGAGGGAGCGGTTATGGCTGCCCTCAGTCCCGTTCCCAGAGGCTCTGCTTCTCAGAACCCCAGGAACCACTGCAAACCTCGGAGCGAAAGCTGCCTTCCAACTGATGCCAGACAATCCCGCTTCTCCCGTTTGAGTCTGAGTCCCTAGAGATTCGGCCAGATCTGGAGCTCAGAGTCTGAGACTCCCTCCTGATTGAAAACGACAACCGCGCCCTCAGCCACCAGCCCGCTTTGCGCGCGCACCTCCGTACCTGAGTATTTTCCACACTGCGCCTCCTCTGAGCCTCGGTGTGCTGTTATTTTTCCTTCTAGTTGAAGAGTCTCTCCTCAGCCAGCCTTCCTGTGGTTCTGGGTGATGTCCGTTCCGTCTTTTAGTTGTATTTTTGAAGTGGCTGTTTGCGGCAGCAGTCTCCGGTGTTTACCTATGCCGCCATCTTGGTCTCTCCCTCCTGTTGTTGTCTTTTTTATAGTCACTGAATCCTCATCCTAATAAATACAGAACTTTTACCACCTCTTGGAGGTGGTTTCATTTCCCCTGGATAAAAGACTTCCTTTTGTTTGTGTTGAAGATTGTGGGTTGTCTCCTAATCCATTTTCCTTTCTTATAACCTTACTGAATTATATAGATTTTGATCACATCACCCCTCAGTGCATGTCTTTCTAGGTTGGAATCCTTTGAGATTTAGTCTGAACTTAAAGACAACACCTTTGCATTTCCTAAAATTTAACAACTTCAATTTTATTATCTGCTCTCAGTTAAATGGTTCCAGGGGCTATTGCCTTTGGGCTGGGAACCTGGCCCACAACCTACAAATGTTTATTGCATTGAATTAACTTGAATTGAATTTCAAAAAGCATTTTCTCTTTAAAGAGACAGCATAAATTAATTTCAAATTTCCAGACTTCATAGCCCGAGCTTTCATGTGCTATCCCAAGTAGGCAACATGAAGCCATGAAAAGAATTAGGGCCCTAGCTGGTTTGGCTCAGTGGATAGAGCTTCGGCCTGCAGACTGAAGGGCCCCAGTTTTGATTCTGGTCAAGGGCGGGTTGCAGGCTTGATCCCCAGTGGTGGGCGTGTTGGAGGCAGCCGGTGAATGATTCTCTCTCATCATTTATGCTTCTATCTCTCCCTCTCTGAAATCAATAAAAATATATTTTTTAAAAAAAGAATTAGGACTTGGAGAGAATTCCTTTACAGGAA